CCATACCCCCTTATCATCAATGTTACTGTTACAGATGTTCTGAAACAAAGCGGCCACCCCCAAAACACGCCTTCAACATTGCTTTCATGGGGGGTGCGGGGGACGTCAGTGTTCAATCACGGAGCTTGGTACTTGAGAAAGAGACAGCTTCAAAACTTGTGACTGGAGGTGGGCTTGAGAATTTGTAATTGGCTGAGTCTCCGTGAAAATTATAAGTAGCCGGAGGCATCCGCAAGTGTACGGAAGAGAAGGAAGAAAGGAAACATATTGCGGGCGGCTGTCAATTCGCACCAGGTCACACCACATGATTCTTATGACAATTAAAGCCAGTCTCTTTTCCCTTTTCCAGCAACCCGAACAGAAGAAGGAGCAATTGAAACCGGGAATGGGATTCCATGGGGTCTGCGATTGGTGTTCTATATTGTTTCGGAAGAACAAGCATATGTTATGCTACAATCGGGTGCATCGGCGGCCTAGAAAACAAGTCCGCGTTCGCAGGCCTTTTGAGGCTTCAGACTCTCGGGCCCCTGTTGTATATATAAATAATGATTTAAAAAATTATATTGTATTTTTTATTTTTTTTTAAGAATATTATATTATTTTAGAAATTGAATCACTATTAATTTAATAGGTGTTATCGAATAATAATGATTTTATTGAGGGATTTATATTACAAAATCAAATGATTTTTTGTTTTTTTCTTTAAATGGTCTTTGATTTCTAGGGATTATATATATTTATTTGAAATATCTATAAATAGATGTAAAGGATAGATTTATTTTGATAGATTTAAAAATTTATGTTTGATAATTGGGTGTCGAACGAAATAACGAAGAAAAAGAAGGAAGGAATAGGAACAAAATGGATGGGAGATTTTTTTTGTTTTTTCTTTTTTTTAAGGAGGAGGTATTGATAAATTCCGGTTTAGATATTTATTTGTAAATTCTCGAAATTATATTGGTATTATATTGATTTGTTTTGGATCTTTATTGAATTATGTTGGATTTAGATTACGAAAGGTAATTTGGCAAGGATTATCTTGAATTTGATTTTAGAAGGAAAGAGATTGATTTGAGAATTTATTCGGACTTAGAGATTGATAGATTAATATTTAATATTTTTCTTTGTTTTTGCCTTCTTATATAATGATTTGGGAGTTGATCGAAATCTCCATATAAGGAATTTTGTATAAAACAACCTTTTAGATGTTGTTAGATCCATTCGCGATGAGGTTCGCGAAAATATCTTTGTTTTTCCGTGAAAGATTTATCGAAGGTCATCGTTTTCCTTGTTTTCCTTTCTACCGGATTGATAAAGAATAGAAATGCAAGGTAATGTTCCGGCAGAGCCAGTGGACGGAAGTGTGCCTATACGTCACAGATTAACGAATTGAAGCCTCAACATTTCCGTGCTGAGCCCTGGCAGTGCGTAAAGGATTCTCCGATTCCTGTCCCCACTGTCACAGGCTAGCAATCTGGATAGGCGCAGCCCTGACAGTGAGGCAACGACTTGCAGCTGCTCTGACGGGCTGCGCAGATGTTTGCAAATATTACGGCTTCCCGGGGAAAGCGCCAATGAAATTTCGCGAAAGATCCGCGAAAGTTTCGCGAATGTGCCGCTAAAGTCTAGGTTCCCAGCTTGAGGCCCCCCAACATTCCCCAAGCTGTATCACCCTGTATTGGTAGCTGGCACGAGGATTGGGTTGAGTTGTGCCTGACTCTATTTGGCACAATTGTCGAACAGATGCTGCAAGTGACCCTGAGTAGCTGTGGAAGCGTTCAACCATCTATTGGGGCCATGCTGCAAGATGTCTCTCCCTATTTTGTGATATTATGATATGTTCCGACTCATGTTGGCTAGACATGGTTGTAGGACCATGCTTCACCATTTATTATTAAATTGATAAATCATAATAAATTTAGTTATTTTACATTCCTCCCCTCCATTCCCCTCCGCATTCTTTCGTTAACATTATTAGCAATCTGGAAACACCATCATATTATAAGGTGAAGTCATGCGCTTAGCAATCACAATAATATGACCTTGGTCATGAAATTATGCGATACAGAATGAACCCTATATAATGAGGTTGCGCAACGCGGTTTCGATGCCGCATGCCGCGCGTGCGCACCCGGCAGCCGGACGCAACGCCAATACAACTTCTCTGCCACGCCCTGTGGAGAAACCTCTCGCTTCGCGGAGCACCATTCGACTCAACCTTACACCCTAGCGTGGCGACACTCGATCGCATCGTGGAGCACCGCTACACAGCTATTTTTGCGCGCCCTTCCCATCAACCACCCACCATAGCGTGACGTCCATCCTGGCAGTGCCGGCCGCACCCCTCCAGCACTATCCTTACAAGGGGATTGGTTATTGCGGACTCGACGCAACACGTGCAGGCCGGTAATCCTGACAATGCATTGAGCTATGGGACCATAGCTGGCACACTTGCGAGGGTTTACGCATTGCGATAAACGAGCGTCGACGCAACGCAGCCTCTCTGCAGAGCCGTGTGGCGCCATCTAACCGCAACGGTGTTCCTCTTGAGCCTTCTTGTGCTCTCTGGCTTTGTTGGTTTCATCCATAATTGATCAAGGGGAATGTTCCTGAAACAACGGAGATAATCCCTCATCAGAAAAGGTCCCGACAATTGCCCGGTCCATTTCTATGTTTCGTTTTTCCCCGCTCAAATTGGCGTATCTTGGATCCAAATTGAGCCCGTTTTGAGCCGATATTGTCTTATCTTGGGCCTATATTAATCTATAGGTCATCTTGTGATTATCTTGGTCCATCTTGGGGTTTTGTGGGGCCTATATTGGAGTTATGTTGAACATATAAGGCCGATATTATTGGATGGATATGGAAGATGATGAGGAACAGAAAATATTGTAAAATGCATGGACCTTCACAGGTCCGCGGTGAGCACCGCAAGTCACCACTAGGGGGCGCGCCCGTTTGTTACTTTCGTTAACCACCGAATGCTTTTGGTTAAGATACGGCACTCGTGGCCGGCGCCCGTTTTTTTGAATTTCTATGAAGAATTTTAGGTAAATTTTAAAATTCTGAATCTTTGCGAAAGGAAAATTGCAATTGGTGGATTTGGAGAAAGGTTAAGAATTCTTGATATAATGATTTTGTGGGGAAAGAGGTTTCTAATATAAAATATATCATCTAAAGATATTTCATAAATAGAAAGGTTTGTGAAGACGTGGCCAAAGTAGTGGTTGTAGATGAGGAATGATTTGTTTGTTGATATTTTTCTTAGATGTAAATAAATATTCGACGAAAGGGTTAATAAAGAGATTGATTGCTTGGGAAATGGGTCGGCAAAAGCAAATATGTAGTCGCGAAAATGTTGCGAAGGATTGACGAAAGAAATATATTAAGCTAAAAAAATCCGGATGATTTTTGATATCATTCAATTATATAATATATATATATTTATTTCAATTGCCGATATAAATGATATATAAATATATTTCATGATTATACATATATTTTTTTCATAATGAAAATATTATATGATAATAAATAAAGATATAGATATTATATTAAAATATATTCATTTTTGATAAAATATAAATATAATATATCAATCTAAATATAAATATCTATTGATACTATATTCTTTAAAAATGTAATATATATTAAATGAATGATATATAGAATTGAAAGGATGTTTAGAATATATTTTTTTTACTTGAATATCAAGAATTAATTGATTAATATCTTATATATTAAATTATATAAAATTGAAAATATGGTTCTTAATTGATATATTTTTTTCGATATAATGAAATTATTTGGAATTATAAATATATATATATATCGATATTGAATTATATATGAAATATATATTTTTTATTATTATTGCTAATAAACAATAATAATATATAAATCATCAATTAATTAAACAATCAATCATATGATATTTAAAAGATATTATATATTCAAAACATATGATATATCTATATAATTCGTAATTTATATATATATATTTATTTATTTGTTGATTATTTCAAAAAGGAATAATTCTATTCATTCTTTTCCATGAGAGAATTTCTATTCTGTCTATATTAAATATTAATCATTTAATGATTGGATCCAGATCGCCATTACGATTAACACATAATCAAAATTTACGATTAAATATCGAAATTATAGAAAATAGAATTATCTATATACATATATGAGATTTGGTTCGTTGACCAGATTTGATCATCGTGACCCATATGATGGAAGGCGACGATGGCGATGCAGAATCTTTTCTGTCCAATGGTTCGATTAATCCTCTATAAATAGAATGGGAATTGGATCTCAA